CATACACATACCTTGCAGAGAGAATGAATGATCTATTGGTACTGAGTAGCTCAAAGGAGAAAGGGACAAGAGAGACTTTGGGTATTTCTACTCTTACGGAACAGAGTTTCATCTCGTTCTTGAATTTGTATGTTGACGGGCCGGTTGGTTCAGTGTGCAACAATATGTCTGAGAACTGGAAGTAAATGGAAAGGAAAAGATAAATGCAATGGAATATAATATAATAGGAATAAAGAATAAAGAGGAATAAAGGATAAAAACTATAAGAATAGGTGTGAGCAAATGAGAAAAGGTGGAATAACAGTATAAGAAGGAAAAGCACAAGTATTTTTGTTGCATAAAATTTCTAACCAAAAAAAACATCCGTGGGGTTTGAGCCTTTCTTGACGACTTCTGGAGCATCCCTTTCTTAATGAATCTCTAAATGACACGGCAGATTTCAAAGGATGTTATATTCATTGTCAGGACAATAAAGTAGCAATAAATATATTTATGGCAATATGCTCAGCAGAAAACATGATCTGAAAGGTCATACTAGCACAATAAAGTACATGTACTAAGTATGACCACTGACCTTTCACTGTGCCATAATTGATCATGCAAAATTTGGAAACTATACAAAGCTACAATTTGATCAACCACCCAAAATATTACAAAATGACATGTACACATGTACACATGTACACATGTACATGTGTACATGTGTACATGTACATGTACACATGTACATGTACATAAATTCACACACACAATGACATACTGTATATGGTATATAACACATGAACATGTACTACATACATGTACATGATACAATGTAAACATGTCCTAGCTGGTGTGGTCTAGTGAATATACTCACCACAAAACATAGATTGTGCAATCAATGAACAATAAAATTCATACAATCAACTAATACAACAGCCCATATTGGGATGGACTCTCATTCCAAGATGATTACACCAAACACAATAACTACATGTACCGTAATATGATACACTTACTCTGTGAGCCAATAGCAGAGTCCCTTCATAATCTGTAATGGTTCTTTCTATTGCGAGGATTTCGTTTGAGTTTTCCTAAGGATATAAAATAAAAAGCAATAGAGGTGATATT